TATGGGAGGTGATCGGCAGGAGGCGGTCTCTCAGGTATCCAGGTCCGATGCCATGAAGGGCTTTATAGGTAACGACCAGTGCCTTGAAGCAGATCCAGAGACTAATGGGTAACCAGTGCAGCTCGAGGAGGATAGGTATGACGTGGGTGTACCTGGGTGCACCCACGATTGCTCGCGCAGCTGCGTTCTGGACCAGCTGGAGTCTTCGAACACTCTTCAAGGGCAGTCCCATGTAGAGCGTGTTACAGTAATCCACATTCATCTCATCCCCAGAGATTGAAAAGTTTGCAACAAATACATACTGAATGACTTTGGAAAAATCATGGTGAGATCTGCATATGTAGATGTGCATAGAAACAATATTATCTATTTATTAATGAGAAACAGATTTGGAAATCAGATTATTTTTGTCACCTGATGTTCTGCCTCCTGCATCACCACATCAGTCTCATGTTCACAATGTTCTGTGGCATTCTCATCACAGGTTCCTCAGTCTTATATAGGAACGTAATTGACCATTTTGTACTTTGTCTTTTTGTTCTCACCATTACCCAGATATAGTTTCTGTTTTTAACCTTTTCTCCCTTTTGAATGAGCTTCATTTTCTCTTGTACTAAAAGAAGAGAACAGAGGCAGAGCATGAAGGGTTCCAGTTTATGTCTGGGAATGTAGCTTGACAAAAATAGGCAGATATTTCCATCAGACATCTAAAGAAGACAATAAATCTCAATTCTCCAGATAATTACCCCTATATTTAGGAATATCTTTAAAATAGCTACTTAGAGACTCAGTACAGATTAGTCACTTTAATGCAAATGAGATGAAATTTCCTGTAAGGAATTTGCCTATTGCTGAACACAAGCACCATATACCGTATTTCCCTGCAAATAAGACCTACCCTGAAAATAAGACCTAGAATTTAAGTATGACCCTCTAGTTTCATTTAAACATAGATGGCCCCAAACCAAGCAAGGGTGTGATGTCTAGAGAAACTTTCTTCCTTGTTTTTTTTCTTTTACAAATGAATTTTTCGGCTGTTTTTGACAGGCAGAGAGCTGCAGGAGGCAGTGGAGGCTGAAAATGGGTGACGAACCAGACCTGTGATATTTCCCGTGACCCGTCAAAAGCGCGGACGACAAAAGCGCGATCGACAAAATCGCGCCTTTGACGTCATC